GGGGCGGCCGGTCCAGCGAGCGACGGGGCTGTCGCTGCCATCGGCTGCATCCCACCCTTGGCAAAGGACGTGGGAATTTTTTTCTTTCACTGGTGAATTTCCCATGGCACAGTGATGCAGTTTTCCACCATGATTCAGCCCGAGTAGCTCAAAGGTTACATTTTTCTGTTAATTTAGCATTTTCTGTTCCTTTACTCCAGCTTCACAGCTTTCCACCGTGATCACTGGAGAAACCGCCAGGTCTGTGGGATGGGACCACCACCTCCATCCCCTTCTTCAGCATCACTTTTTAGGCACGGAGCCTCCCACCACCACGCATCCCAGACCAGCTGGAGAATCCCAGCCAGGAGCCCGGCCCCATGGCTGGCCCCCGCCGCAGGCAAAAAAGGTCCCGCAGCCGGAGCGCGCGCGCTTATCTGCTCTCCATCGCGAGCGGTGCAGGTAGGAAACGGCGCAGCTCTCCGCTGGCAAATCCCTCGCAAAGGTCTTTCTGAGTCAGTGGCACGAGCTTCATCTGGGGCATTTCGGAACCAGACAAACAACATTACGCTCAGTCTGGCTGCTCCCGGATTAATTGAGCGCTCGCAAACTCTTATCAAGCATCTGATGGCAAGTTGCTATTTGAGTTAGAAAAATACCTATTAGTTATTACAAAACTCCGAAGTTTCCCAGCTCAGCTCATTTCTCAGCGCGATTTCCTGCGGCAGCGCCGGCCGGTGGTGCCAGTGGAGCCCATCGCCCCGACCTGCCCCGGGTTCACCCCGCGCGGCGCAGGACGGGCCAGGGCAGCCTCCGGCTCGCCGAGATGCCGGAGCAGAGCCCCAAAACTCCATTTTCCCACGCGAGCGCCAGCGCTCCGGGCATCGATGCTGCAGGACCACCAGCTCCACGTCCCTCGCCCACCTCCCCGCAGGGTCCTGCTGTTCCGGGGGTCCCGTTTGGCCAGGAGAGCCCCCAGCGCTCCGTAAACCCCCCAGCCCCGGGAGGCAGCGATGTCCTGCTCCGACCCCGGAGGTTTTTGTCCCCCAAGGCCCCAGGCAGGGCTCTGCCACGCTTTCTGCTTCTCCGCGGGCGCAGGTGAAGATAACCATAGACAGAAAATGGTATGCAGATGAAGGATGCTTTGCATGATTTGGAGATATTCAAATGAAACGCGAGATGGAAGAGCTTGAAGGATAATTAGAGAAAAAAAAAAAAAAGCAAAGCTCCGAAAAAATAGCGCGATCAGATCCGTGGCCTCCCCCGTTCGGCCACTTTCACCTCGCGGTGTAGAGAAAGTCTTGGGATACGGAGAAATGAAGAATCCCCAAACCGGGCAGATTACACACTTCTCTTTTGTACGTGACCTGACTCCTACCACCGTTATCTTACGGTGGAAATTTCCTACGTTGAAACGTAATGCGAGATCAGAAGAAAATCTTGACTTGTACAAAAAAGACTTGTTGTCCTAATTGGATAGCAGCAACTTTGGAAAGTGCAGATAAGGGAAAAATAAGTTTTTCCTACAGGTTCAGCAATTTTACAGCCATAAATTGAGATGCTCCTTCCAGAAAAGCACACGCGGGTATAGATCACCAAAATATCCAGAAACTGCGAGCTGAGAAGGTCTGGTCCAAGCAGGCCATGAGCATCCCGGTCCCGATCCTGCTCACCTTCCTGGTGCTGTCAGCCTGCCAGGGCCACAGGGCTGCCCTGGTGCCAACCTCCACCTTCCTGAAGGAGAGCATCCAGCTGCTGAGCAAGCTCCTGGAGAGGAAGGTAGGGCTGGTTCGCGCGGCTCAGCAGATGGGAGGGACGGAGCGCGTCGCCGGGCTCGGCGAGAGCGATGCTGAGTCAAAGAAAGGTGCTGAGCGCGCAGCACCGGGGCAGGGTGCGTGTTCACGGGGGGCCGAGGGTGGGCGGATGGAAGGACGGACGGACGGATGGGGTGGGGGGGTGTGTCTGCGTGCGCACGTGTCAGGATGGGTCCGTGTTGGTGGTTTCTCTCCCCCCATCACTCCTCTCCTTTGTGTCTTGATAAAGGTTTCCTGTGACAAGATGAACGTGACAAATATTTTTGCAGGCGATAAGGTAAGAGAGGAAAAAAACTAACTTGTCCTTGTTCAAAAACAATCCTACGGCCAAGC